AGCTGAAAACAATATGAATCCCCACCAATATGGAACTGGCTCAGTAAGTTATGATATATTACCCTGGCCAGTTTGGCTCAGCGGTTAGAGCATCGGCCCATGGACTGAGGTCTCATATTCGATTCCTGGTCAAGGGCATGTACCTCGGTTGCGGGTTTGATCCCTGACCTTGGTTAGGGTCGTATGAGAGGCCGGGGTCCTGCAAGAGGTATCCGGTTGATGTATCTCTCGAGTAGATGTTTCTCTCTCTCCCTCCCTCCCTTCCACTCGATCTAAAAATCAGTGGAAGAAGATTCTCGAGTGAAGATTAAAAAATAAGAGAATAAATTATGATATATCACTCCAAGAAATATTATAAAAACATTAAGCAGAATGAAGCTATGGCAGGTGACTTGGTAGGAGGGATTTCAATGAGGTACTGTGTAAGAAAAGCAAGATACAGAAAAGAGTGTACAGTATCCCATTTTTTTTTTTTTATCCTCATCCGAGGACTTTTTTTTGCTCAGATAGAGTGGAAGGGAGAGAGAGAGAGAGAGAAACATCGATGTGAAAGGGACACATCGAGTGGCTGCCACCCGCACAACCCAACCAGGGCCGGGGACAAACTGCAACCGAGGTACGTGCCCTTAGCAGGAACTGAACCCGGGTCTCTCCGGACCGCAGGCCAACGCTCTAACCGCTGAGCCAAACCGGCCAGGGCCAGTATCCCATTTTTACAAAACAGTAATGACCAAAAACATCCCTAAATGCAAATATATGGTATATGTGTGTATGATTTTATGAGTGTTAAGAAAATAGGAAAGGATGCAGATGAGTTGACGAACATGGGCATGGCACTCCTAGTAGAAGAAAGAAAGGGGAGTGGGGTCAAACAATGAAGGAAAAGGGAGGAAATGTTTAACTATTTTTTAAAAATAGTTCAGTATGATGTGATTATATTTCTGTACAAGTATACATATGAATATATAAGGATATGAAATTGTTAACTTTAAAAAAATTCAAAAGGACAAATCATTGTGATTTGGGCTAATCAGGAAAGCCTTTTGAATGGTAGAGTCTAAAACCAAAGCCAGGGCTTGGAGTGAAATTGTTACAGAGTGAAAAGAAATTTCAGAAAGGGGACACGTTGTAAGCAAGGCAATAGGGAAAGAACAGGTTGGACTTATGTAAAACATTAGAAGGAATTAATTTCAGAATAATTGAGGGAATGATAAGAAAATGTTGGCCAAGTCACCAAAGACCACATATTGTGTGATTTCACTTATATGAAATCTCTACAGTAGACAAATCCATTGACACAAAATAGATAAGTGGTTACCAAGGGCTGGGGGAGATAGGGAGAAAATGGACATGGGGTTTCTTTTAGCAGTGATGACAAATTCTAAAATCGATTGCAGTGATGATTATACAATTCTGTGAAATACCATAAATCATTTAATTGTACACTTTAAGTTGGTAAATTGTATGCTATGTAAATTATATCTAAATAAAACTATTAAAAATAAAAAGTCGGCCAGATAAATTGGAGTCACCTGGTAGAGAACATTAACACCAGACTTAAGAGTTTGGCCCTGGCCGGTTTGGCTCAGTGGTTAGAGCATAAGCCTGCGGACCAGCGAGTCTTTGGTTTGGTTCCTGCTGAGGGCACATACCTTGGTTGCAGTTTGTCCTTGGCCCCGGTTAGGGTTGTGTGGGTGGCAGCCACTCGATGTGTCTCTCTCGTGTTGATGTTTCTCTCTTTCTCTCTCTCTTCGCCCTCTCTCCCTCCTGCTCTATCTGAAGATAAATGCAAAAAAAAAAAAAAAAAGTGTGAATTTCATCTAATGTACTAAAAAGAGTTTTTATAGATTTATGAGTATGGAATGGACTTTCCTTTTTTAACCTCTTTTTCTCTTTATTTAGGATTTTAATTATAAAAGTATATACTCTTTGAAACAAAATTCAGATAATATAGAAAAGCATGTTAAATAGAAAATTTTAGTCTTATCTCCCCATAGATCACCACTGGAAAAGTTGTGATTCTTTTCTAAACTTCTTTCTCATTTTTTTTAACATAATGGTATCATATCATCCATCTTGTTCTGAAATTTTATCATACAGCAGTGTGTCATTGCCATCTTTCTTTACTTGCATATGGAGACTGGCTATCACAGGGACTAAATAATAGTAACCCATGTTATAGAGTGATTGTAAAAATTAAATGAGTTGATACATGTAAATAATGAGAATAGTATCAGACACATAGTAAGCATTTGATAAACATTCGTTGATGTTTAGCTATTATCATTGATAAGTATAGGCTGAAGGATACAGCTTTCTATGAGTGATTGTTTTAGTGGTTCTTTTGCTTTGGAACATGAAGTGAAAGCAAGTATCATTTCCATTTCAGAAGGGAAGTATTCATTCAGTCATCACAGGGCTAACAGCCAGGCTAGGTACTAACAGTACTAATATTAAGAGCTAACATATAACACTTCATAACAGAGGTTGTTAATGTAGGTTTTGGGGGTGAGTTTAAGGGAATCAGAGTCTCTTGAAATTGTATGTCAAAAGTTTGTATGTGTCTACGTGCAGTTCAGTAAACAAAATGAATAACTTTTGAAAGATTCTTCAGGGAGTCTTCATTCCTTAAGGACCACATGCTCTACCTATTAGATTCTCATGACAGCCCCAAGAGGTAAAGAATGTTACGGGATTTTGGAGGATACAAAGGTGGCCCTGACTCTTAAGGAGGTTGTGTGTGCTCAGCTTGCTGTTAATACAGGTAGAGAATGAAGAGTCCTATTAGAAAGTTATTAAGCCTTGAGAATTCAGAAGGAGTTTATTCTAGCTATTGAATCAGGGAAAACTTTTTGGCCTTAAATCTATTAAAACTATAGATCAGCCCTGGCCAGGTAGCTGAGTTGATTAAAGCATTGTCCCAATAAGCCAAGGTTACAGGTTCTATCCCCGGTCAAGGAACGTAAAAGAATCAACCAGGCCCTGGCCGGTTTGGCTCAGCGGTTGGAGCATTGGCCTGCGGACCAAAGAGTCCTGGGTTCGGTTCCTGCTAGGGGCACGTACCAAAAAAATAAAATAAAAATAAATAAAAGATAAATACCCAAGCCTTAAAAAAAAAAAAAAGAATCAACCAGTGCCCTGGCCGGTTTGGCTCAGTGGTTAGAGCGTCGCCCTGCAGTCCAGAGAGACCCGGGTTCGGTTCCCGCTAAGGGCACGTACCTTGGTTGCAGTTTGTCCCTGGCCCTGGTTGGGTCATGTGGGTGGCAGCCACTCGATGTGTCCCTTTCACATAGATGTTTTTTTCTCTCTCTCCCTCCCACTCTATCTGAACAAAAAATGGAAAAAATATCCTCGGGTGAAGATAAAAAAAAAAAAGAATCAACCAATGAACCCCGGCTGGTGTGGCTCAGTTGGTTAAGTAGTGCCCCAAGCACCAAGAGATTGCCAATCTGATTCCCAGTAAGGGCACATGCCCAGGTTGTAGGCTTGATCCCCAGTATGGGGTGTGCAGGAAGCAGCCTATCGATGTTTCTCTTATCAAAGTTTCTCTCCCTTGCCCTGGCCGGTTTGGCTCAGCGGTTAGAGCGTTAGCCTGCAGTCCGGAGAGACCCGGGTTCAGTTCCCGCTAAGGGCATGTAACTTGGTTGCAGTTTGTCCCCGGCCCTGGTTGGGTCGTGCGGGTGGCAACCACTCGATGTGTCCCTTTCACGTCGATGTTTCGCTCTCTCTCTCTACCTCCCACTCTGTCTGAACAAAAAATGGAAAAATGTCCTCGGGTGAGGATTAAAAAAAAAAAAAGTTTCTCTCCCTCTCCCTTCCTCTCTCAAAAGCAATAAAATTTATTAAAATGCAGAAATAAGTGGAACAACAAATGTCTCTTTCTCCCTCCACCTCTCTCTCTCTCTCTCTTTCTAAAAAATCAAGAAATAGCCCTGGTGTGGCTCAGTGTTTAGAGCTCTGGCCTGCACAGCAAAGGATCGTGGGTTCAATTCCCAGTCAAGGGCACATACCTGGGTTGCAGGTTCAATCCCCAGCCCTAGTTAGGACACATGCATGAGGCAACCAATCAATGTGTCTCTCTCACATCAATATTTCTCTCTTTTCTCATCCCTACCTCCTTTCCACTCTTTAAAAAATCAATGGAAAAAATATCCTCAGTGAGGATTACCAAAAAAAAAAAAAAAAAATCAAGAAATAAATTAAAATTTTAAAGCCTGTATATTATTTAACAAATATTTATAAAATGCCCACTTATATTCCAGTAGTAATTCTAGATCTTGGGAATATAACAGTGAACAAATGGATAGTATGTCTTTATGAAGCTTACATTCTTTTTTTTTCCTTCATTTTTTTAAATTTCTCACCTGAGGATATTTTTCTTTTTATCATTAGATAGAGTGGGAGAGAGGGAAGGAGAGAGACAGACAGACAGAAACAGATGTGATAGAGACTCATTGGACTGGTTGCCTACCGCATGACCCAACCAGGGCTGGGGACAAACCGCAACTGAGGTACATGCGTGCCCTTGACCAGAATCGAACCTATGACTCATTGGTCGTGGGCTGATGCTCTAACTGCTGAACCAAACTGGCCAGGGTGAAGCTTAACATTCTTTTGGGGAAGTCATACATAGATGATGTGACCCTTCTCTTCACCTTGAAACTTCAGGGCAACTTTGATTATATGCCTAACAATGCCTTCCCATAATAATGCTCAGTAAATATTTGTTTGAATGAGTAAGAGGATGAACCAAAACGCTGGAAGAGGTCTAAAGGCATCATGATCTCAGTTTTCAGGCAGAACCACTTTTAACTATCCTTTTTTTTTTTACAATGGAATAGAAATTTTAAACCTAGGTAATCACCATAATTCTGTGCTATGAAGAGATTTGGCATAAATTGAAGAAATGAACTTGTGTGTCTTCATCTAATATTAAGTACTACCTTAAATACTTTGGCACTGCAGAAATGCAGAGTATCACTGTTGTTTGTCATTTCTAGGAGAGGTGACTCCAGGACTATCCCAGGTGGAATATGCACTTCGAAGACACAAGTTAATGTCTCTGATCCACAAGGAAGCACAAGGGCAGAATGGGACAGACCAGACGGTGGTTCTGCTGTCCAACCCTACATACTACATGAGCAATGATATCCCCTATACTTTCCACCAAGACAACAATTTCCTGTACCTATGTGGATTCCAAGAGCCTGATAGCATTCTGGTCCTTCAAAGCCTCCCTGGCAAGCAGTTACCAGCACACAAGGCCATGCTTTTTGTGCCTCGGAGAGACCCCAGTCGAGAACTTTGGGATGGCCCACGGTCTGGCACTGATGGAGCTATAGCTTTAACTGGCGTGGACGAAGCCTATACACTGGAAGAATTTCAACATCTAGTACCAAAACTGAAAGGTAACAAATGGAAGCAGAAGTCAAATCATAGACCAGATTGGGACTAAGACCTTCCTTGCCTGTTTAGACAATTCTTAATGTCCTAAAATGTTTATCCATAACAGTGTTTTCCTTAAGCACCAAGAAAGGAACATAAATCTTTTTCACAGGACTGGGCAACTTTAAAGATTCCATTTATTGATTTGCTGATCTTATTAGATTATTCATTCACATAGACTATTAACTATCCTAGTTTGAAATCCCAAAGAGTGAATTTCCTTCCTAAGTGGAAGATGGACATCGGCCACTCTTCAAGATTACTGACCAGTCTATTGACATTTGACCCCTACTTCTTATTGCTTTTGCCAGCTCTTCAGAAGGAGGCAGTATTCTCAAAGAATGATCCATGCATCACCGGCATCAGAATCACCTGGTGATGCATATTAGAATTATAAATGCATAGTAGATACTGGCAGTGTAAAATCTTAGGCCCCTACTCTATATCGACTAAATCAGAATCTTCATTTTAATAAGATTCTTAGGTGATTCATATACTCCATTTGTACCCCTCAAAATAGTCACTTTCTTGACATTCTGGTGAAATTATGATCACTCAGTGTTTTGGGATTCCTTTTCTGGAACTTTGCAGAACCTACATTGCAATATAAACTGTCCTTAGTGAATCTGTAGCTCTAGATATTTTTGAAATATCCAAAAGTCACTTAGAGCCAAATGTGTTAAATAAGATAGTTGATAAAGGTGGAGAGTGCTGATTTTAAACAAAATAATGTAGGATTGTAAAATTTTGTCTGGTTTTTCTTGTGTGGTTTATAAAACATTTTTGAAATCAGTTTCTAAAACAGAATTCCACAGTTATTTCCAACAATCATGCAATTTACTGGACTTGTTTTCTACAGACTCCCTTGAAGGAAAATGCTTATTTGAATGTATACATTCTAATATGTTTGAATTCTTTTCATTACTTCATAAAATATTTTCTTTTTTTTCCCTCACCTGAGGACATTTTTGTATTTATCTTCAGAGAGAGCAGGAGAGAGAAAGGGAGGAAGAGAGAGAGAGAAACATCCATATGAGAGAGACACATTGAGTGGTTGCCACCCACACGACCCCAACCAGGGCCTGGGACAAAATGCAACTGAGGTACATGCCCCTAGTGGGAACCAAACCCTGGACTTTCTGGTCTGCTGGCCAACGCTCTAACCACTGAGCAAAACCAGCCAGGGCTATAAAATATTTTCTATTTTCAAGAGATAATTACCCAGATAAGCCAGTGGAACTTTCATAAGCTTCAAAATCTTTATGAATGTGGGGCACAGAATCATTTTCTTTATAACTTTTCTATTTCTTGAATTATTGGTTGTCATGTTCCAAATTACTTTGTAAAAAACACAACACTTGCCCTGGACGGTGCAGCCAGTTGGTTCGGGCATTGTCCTGTGCCCCGAAAAGTTGCCGATTCTATTCCCAGGCATGGTGCATGCCTGAGTTGTAGGCTCAAGACCTGGTAGAAGGCATGCAGGAGGCAGTCGATAGATGTTTTTTGCTCTCACGTTGATGTTTCTCTCTCTCCCTCTCTTGTCCTCTCTCTCTAAAAATCCATTTAAAATCTTAAAAAAAAAAACCCAGCCCTGTCCTATTTGGCTCAGTGGTTAGAGCATCGGCCCATAGGCCAAAGGGTCCCAGGTTTTGATTCCTGGTCAGGGGCACATACCTGGGTTACAGGTTCAATCCCCAGTCGGGGTCATTCAAGAGGCAATCAATCACTGTGTCTCTCTCACATCAGTGTCTCTCTCTCTCTCTCTCTCTCTCTCTCTCTCTTTCTCTCTCTCTCTCTTCCTCTCTCTCTCTCTTCCTCTCTCCCTCCCTCCCACTCTATCTAAAATAATCAATGGAAAAATATCCTCAGGTGAGGATTAACAACAACAATGAAAAATACAACCCTTCAGGCATACATTGTTGGGAATGCTCTTCATTGGCTACTGTCAGAAAAAAATGATAAGTATTGTAGACTTGTATATCTGAAACTTATGTAACTATATTAACCAATGTCACCTTAATAAATTCAATTTAAGGAAATGAATAAATCAAAATAAGTTTTAAAAAATTAAGGGAAATGGAGACAGTGTAAGTGGAAATCATTTTCATAGTAAGCCTACTTATTATTTTCTTTAATCCTCACCTGAGGATATTTTTTCTACTGATTTTTTTCCAAGAGAGGGAGGGAGGGATGGGGAGAGAAAGAGAGATACTTCGATGTGAGAGAGACGCATTGATTGGTTGCCTCCCACATGCACCCAGGGGCCCGGGATTGAACCTGCAACCCATGTAAGTGCCCTTGACCAAGAATGGAAGCTGGATCCTTCAGCACACAGGCTGACATTCTAACCACTGCAACCTGTGCAATACCGGCCAGGACAAGCCTACATATTTTATGTCTCAGGCCAATATAGGCTATATGCTTGAGTCTCTAGTTAAAAGGTGAACAGTGTTGGTCTGTAATGTGAATACATAGCAGATGGGAAAGGAAAGCTTTCCTGGATAAGAGTGGATTAGCACATATCAACTGTAGTGTTTCTATAGCTGTGAACAATTGTTCCTAACTGAAAAAACTTCCTTTCATCAATACTGCGATTGTTGGTGAAGGGATAGAATGCTTTAAATCATAAAGTCATGATCTGAGTACATTTTTCTGTCCTTTGTTTTCAATTATTCAACAATGTCTCTAGCTCAATAGTGGTGTCTAGAGCAATTATTGTAATTGTTCTTTAGCGGTTAATAAATAATAAATAAAATGAAAGCTTGAATAAAGGTTTAGTTCCATCTAATAGTTCTAAAACTTTGTATTAAGGCAGAAAAGCTGTCTATTCAGTCTCAGAATATCTTGCCATTTTCAGGGAATGGCCTTTCCAATGATTTAGGATCAAACTGTTCAATTACTTCAGTTCTGAGAGTTTGTGCTCAACCTTTTTGAGTTTCACACTTCAGGTTTTATAGTTTTGACTCTTGTTTAAGTCATTATGACAGTTGGTATTTGTTGTTGCTGCTGTTAGTTTTATTTTAAATTAATTTTTTGGCATCTCATTTTAAGCTGAGACAAATACACTTTGGTATGACTGGATGAGGCCTGCTCACACACAGCTTCACTCAGACTATATGCAGCGTGTGGCTGAGGTCAAAACCAAGAGCAAGAACAAGGTTCAGGCTGTCCACCAGCTGATACAGCGCCTCCGGCTGATCAAATCTCCTGCTGAAATTGAACGAATGCAGATTGCTGGGAAGCTGACATCACAGGTTTGGTTCCTACTGAAAAAGCTGTCTTCAAATGAAAAAAAATCTAAGCTCTTAGGGGTTCAGTGGGCTCTTTGAGTTGTGTACTTAATGCAGTAGTTTCATGGCAGGTGAATATCTAGCTGGAACTTGGACATTTAGTGAGCACTTCTAAAGACTTACTTAGTACCCTGCAAGGCAAAGTAAATCTGCCTTGTATCTTACCCATGATTGTAGTTGTTTCTTCTTGGAACAACATAAATTAATTTTATTTTCTTTCCTTATAATAACTGCAATAATAATGGCAGTTAAACAGTTTGATTGTTAAAGAAGACTCATAGGACCCCAAATGAGAATGCTTACAAATCTACAATTACAGGAGAAGGGTACAGTATAGCAACAGCATTAATGTAAGAATACCTGTCACAGTCGATGGCTGTTTCACAGCCAGGGGCCAGAGAAGCTGGGTATAGGCTCCTATTGTCCTCCCTCAGTAAGAGCAGGGCAAGATGCATTTTCTCTCCTGGATCCAGAACCAGAGATGCATGTATGGAACACCTGGAAATCAGAGAGCCCAAAATGGAATCTCAGAGATTTTTCTGGTTTTGGTCATATTGGCATATTACTGCTATGTAACAACAAAGCCTTTGGGGTTCTGTTGGAAACCAAATGCAAACCATTAATCACACCGTTACCAGTACTGATAAACTGCTCTGAAACTCCTCTCAACACTATTAATCAGTATGTTTCAGGCCTTGATCAGGATCAGTTCCATGCAGAAACTTGAACAAAACAGCTCAAGCTAATTCCAGGGCTACTGGAATTAACCTCTTAGCATAATAGCACACAAACATTTGAAGGCTACTTTTCTGAGTTCTACCTATAGTCTTCCCGAACTTAAACATTGTTTTGAACTATTCCCTCATTTGGTGACCCTCCTCAGAATATGCTCTAGTTTGTCAGGGTCCTTCTTCAATTATACTGTCTACTGTTCTAGCTATGGCCAGACCACCAAACGCTACTCACAATGAATTACAGATGTGAAAAGCATATGTTTATTTTCCTTCAAATTGATTTTTAAAATATGGGAGAGAAAAAGCTAAGAATAGATCTGTGGGATAATGTTTAGGGCTCCAGAGAAATTGGTATCAGTCAAATGATTAGATGTCTTTGCATGAGGTATAAAATCAGTTATAAATCTACCTAGGAGTATTCTAATCCATACTTTGTCACTTGTTCATGCTGTTGTGAGAGTCTTTTTTAAGTGTTGTGCCAAAATTTAGAAGTACTGTTTTAAATCTGAGGTATTCTGTTTATCTACCAACCCAGTAAAGACATCAGACAGGGAAATGGAGTTTGGCCTTATTTTTCTCAATGAACAACTTTACCAGCAATCATATTCTTATTATTTTTTAATCCTCACCCGAGGATGTTTTTTCACATATCTTCAGATAGAGTGGGAGGGGTAGAGAGAGAGAGGAACATTGATGTGAGAGGGACGCATCGACGGGTTGCCTCCCGCACAACCCTGACCAGGGCCCAAGATGAACCACAACCAAGGCCCTTGGCTGGAATCGAACCCATGACTCTTTGGTCCGCAGGCTGACGCTCTAACTGCTGAGCCAAACTGGCCAGGGCACCATCATATTCTTTAAGTATTCCAAATTTTGGTCTTAGAATTTTTCTGTAAGATTTTTGGATATTTGGGCAAAATAGTTTCCTTAAGAATAATTATGCTGTATTTCTGGTTTTTAGCCCAAATGAAAGTTTCCCTTTTTGGGGGGAGTAAGCCAAATATAATTTTTGCCTATGTGACACGAATCAATTGGGTTTTATTCCAGTCTGATTTGGTTTAAGAGAGGAGAGTTGGTAGAATCTGTGGGCATAAATAAAAGCGGGGTGGAAGTCAGACCTTGTCCAGGCCAGATTTCTCCTATGGTTGAATGTATATCCTGCTTCCTGGACACCTCTACCTGAATTCCCTGTAGTTATCTAAACTGTGCTCTGCCAGACCTGCCTCTTCTCTGGTATTCTTTTTGATGGTTAATAACAGCAACATTGACCCAGCTACCTTAGACAGAAATATGAAAGTTATCTAGATAATTGTTCTCCCCACCCCTTATACCTAATTAATGAGTGCCCAAGTTTACTCCTAGGATGGCAGAACAATGTAGTGGAAAATAGATAGACCTGGGCTTAAATACCAAGCTGTGTTACTTTGGCCTATGCCTAGTGTCCCTTTGCTGTCTCCTTGTTTCTGTTATTGCTTGCGTCTAACTCTACCCCAGCCAGAGTGGTCTTTACAAATCTGACTCTTCTTCTCCTACTTAAAGTCCTATTTAGGTCCATTTTGTTTTTAGGATTAAATTTCACTATGCTCATGTGGGGCCTTTCATGATCTGGCCCCTTCTGCCTTCCCCTCTAGCTTCATAGCTCATTTTTCCACATGTGCTTGGTACTCCAGCCATAATGAACAGTCTCAAATGTCACAGTTTCCCTACTCTCACATCACCTGAATGTGGACACATACATAAGACCATCATGAATGCATTCCTGCTTTTTCTCCACTGTCTCTTCTCCATAAGCTGTACAGTGTTTACTCCTGATGTGTTCTGATTATGAGATGCACAGAGTGAAATGCAAAAAAAACACATTTTACTTTTTTTTTTTTAGGGAGAGAGAGGGAAACATGAATGTGAGAGAAATATTCGTCGGCTGCCTCCTGGACACCCCCTACTGGGGAGCAAGCCCAAAACCCAGACATGTGCCTTGATCAGGAATCAAACCAGAACCACTTAGTTTATGGGACGATGCTCAATCCACCGAGCCACACCATCCGGGCTCCCATTTTCCATTTTTAAATAATCAAAGTATAAACATTTAAATAGCACGTGGTGAAGGAAGTAAGAAGGTCAAGTGTTAATTGAGAGTATGAGCTGCACTGTGACAGGACAACCCTAATAAAAGTGACAGTCATAAAGTCTATCCCTTGATCTTTATAGGAAGAACATTCCACACATAGTAAGGATAGGTAGCATTTGAACCATGTACCGTCATCTGTGAAGAAATGCACTTGTAGGAGATACATTCATTACAAAAAGAAATAAGCAAGATCAGGCATTTGATCACCTAGGAAGCAAGAGGGACTTTTCTATTGGTTTAGTCTGCATAGCAGTGTAAAGGGGCCATGACTGAAAATATTCTCTGTACTGTTCAAGAAAGGTTCAAAAGAAAATTAATTAAAAAAAAAACACAAAGAAATCCCTCTTTGAAATGAATGAACCTCTCTGGAACTACCACACTTTTTGTTATGTTTCATTTTAGCTTTGTACTAAAAATGTAGTGCTAACTAGCTATTTATCAACGTGTGTGTGTATCCTTTCATTTTAATTTATAATTCATTCAGCTGATATTTATAGTAGAGTACCTATAGTGGTGCCAGGCCCTAGGTTCTAAGGATACAGTAGTAAGCAAAACACATCATCCATGAGTCCCTATCCTCAGTCTACATTCTACTTGAGGCAAGACAGTAGATAAATACTCAGCTGGAATTAAATGCTGGAAAGAAAATGAAGCAATAGAAGGGGAGAAAGTATGGAAAGTGTCCATTTAGGTGGGGGTAGGAAGTGCAAAGCATTGGGGGAAAGATCAGAATGAGAAAAGGGAGCAAGCCATGCAGATATTCCCACTGCCATCCCACTTGCTTTTTCTTTATTGGACTTTACAGTGACATCATTACCTTGTCTATATATTGAAAATTTTTATTCAAAAATTTCTTCACACATTGCATTCACTCTTAGAATGTAACAACTTGAGAGAAATTCCTTTCTAGTTGTAGTATCATATAGTCATGTCCCTGAGCAACTGATTTATTTTTATTGCACAGGCATTAGAAATTATATAGCCGACAGAGTTTTTCTTTTCACATTGGCTGCTAGAAAACTCAGAGTAACATTGTGGCCCATCTGTAGTAGCCATAGTAATCATGAAGGTCATTGTGGTGTGCATTCTTAGTTTTTTGCACTTCATTCCTTCCAGCCTTGATTTTCTTTAATTCTGTCAATGTATGCTATCTGTATTTTATGTATCCATGTACCCTAATCAAAATCCTATTTGGAACAAGATACCGTAATAAATTATAAACAGGTATGTTTATAAAAGTAGGAAAAAAACACATGTATAATGTAGCTGTCGCAGAGAATTATTGCCAAATGTCAATAACAAATTTGGCAATAACAAATTATCACCAGGGAGTGCTACTGGTATCCTGCATTGAACAGGACAGCCCCCATAACAAAGAATTATCTAGCCCAAAATGTCGATAGTGCTGAGGTTGGGAAACCCTCCCGTAGACTGGACTATTGAATTCATAATTTCATACATTCCAGGGCTACAGAAGTATTTTCTTACATAAATGACAAATGTGTTTCCATGTAGCTTATTCTAGCATACAGTTTATATTCTGACTGGGATGGTTGGGTACTCTTCTGATACCATTTTAATTAGATAGTTATTAATAATAGGAAAGGAACAAAAGGAAAGCCAGACATAGGCATGTTTCCTACAAAATACTGGGAGAGGGAACCATATAGGGAAGACACACATGTCCAGTAAAGTTGGGATGACATAGGGAAGATAACTTGCCATCGGTCACACCTTGGAACACAGGTCATTGGCCAGAATGGGCATGGCCACTGCAAGCACACAGAAATTTGGTATATATATAATCCTCTAAAGTTCCAGGGGTTGGGAACGTCCAGCCCATGAAATCAATGCCAGTTAACATCACACTCCTCACCAAATTAGCCTGACCAAATATAGTATACTAATTTTTAAGTTGATAATTTTGTATGGCCCATGAGTGATGTTATAAATATCCAAATGGCCCTTGGCAGAAAAAAGGTTCCCCACCCCGTGAAACTCACACTCTTGGACTCTCTTGGTTCCTCTTGGTGCAGTTGGCTCATCATGCTTCACAATTGGCTTCCTAGCATCCTCCCATGTGGCCCATGGCCATGCAGACCCCCATGCATAATGGACTAATGGACTGCAACTAGCCTGATGCTGTACTGGACCCTGCTCCAACATGGAACAGAAACTCTGGACACTGGCTTTGCTTCTAGCTTTACTAAAACCCCAGCTACACTTCTATGACTGGACTAAGGGAAATGGTACTTCGGAAATCTACGGATGTAATTCCATGGAAATAAAGCTTTCTACTATATTACGTCCTCCCCTTGGGGGCCTTGGGAAATGGTTATTCCAGCAGTACCCAAAGAACCCCACTCCCACTAGCAACGGAAAGACGAGGCTCATTTTTCTCCAATAGCACTTCCACTAAATCTGTCACCAGTCAAATATTTCTGAAAGCAATATTATCCCCTCCAGAAATCTATATTATCATGCCCACAAAGTCACAACTTCAGGTTCACAAAACTGGGAGAAAGGGTGCTTTTCATTTTAACTCTAGTATTTTGAATGATTGAGTAAGCAGCATAGTTAAAATGAGACTTCTTTTCACCCTCCATTCTCTTTGCAGGCTTTCATAGAGACCATGTTTGCCAGTAAAGCCCCTGTGGAGGAGAGCTTTCTTTATGCTAAGGTGAGCTTTAAATGATTGGAAAGCTCTTGGTGGAGGCAAATGGAAAGTAATTTCATTGTTTGGAAATGGAATCTGGCTGGCTTTCTTGGAAGTGACCAGGATATCAGTGGAGAGGATTTGGTTCTTAAATGTCACTGGTAATTTATTAGATGAGTCTAAAATATGCAAAGTTACAGCTAAATGAAGAAAATCACAAAGTAGAGCCATTGAAGAAGGAAAGGCTTACACAAATATGAGATGAGACTAGTACTGTTTAAGTAAATGTAAAGGAACAGCATCTGAAGTTGAGCTGTAGGCAGTAGCAGATGGTTGCCAGTCTTGAGCTCCATCCTAGGATATAGTGAAATTTATAGACTTTACCATTTGCCTAGCATCTTTTTTTAATTTTCCAAAGCATATAGGTTGGTAGCTATTTGAACGGTTGATATTAGTCATTTAAAGCTGTTAAAAATGCAAGCCATATTCCAGTGTTTATCTAAATAAAAATAAACAGTAACTTTACTTGACTGTATCTCTTTTTTTTTATTTATTATTTTTTTTCTTTATTGATTTTTAGAGAGAGAGAGGAAGGGAGAGGAAAAGAGTAATAGAAACATCTATAAGAGAGAACATCGATTGGCTGCCTCCTGCATGACCCTCACTGGGGATTGGGCCCAGAACCTGGGCATGTGCCCTGACCGGAAATCAAACCGGCAACCTCTTGGTCAACACTCAACCGCCAAGCCACACAGGCCGGGCACATGACTGTATCTCTTTACTCAGCCTTGATCATAGGTTTTCTGTGTCCTCTTCTGGACTTAATTTGAAAATCATAGGAAATTTAGAGTATTCAGAAGAAAAGAACAGATTTAATAACAGGATTGGGATGAGAATAAAAAAGTGCCTTAAATTACAGCATAAAAAGTTTTGTTAGATATGATGAATAGTTTGCCAGTAATGACTTAAGGTAAGAGTAATTAATAGAGGTATGGGCTGTTAAGGAGAGCCTGGGCTGGAACAGCCTAGGGAAATCTTATTCTTCAGTCACACTTATAAGTCACACTTTGCTGTTTTTCAGTTTGAATTTGAATGCCGGGCCCGGGGAGCAGACATCTTAGCCTACCCACCTGTGGTTGCTGGAGGTAATCGGTCAAACACTTTGCACTATGTGAAGAACAATCAGCTCATCAAGGTACATGGAACATCCATCAGTGCTGCTTCCTCTGGGTGCAGATGCCCTAGTAGAAAACACACTGACTTCAGGGTCCCTAACCTCTTAGCTTTCACAAAATAACTGCCATTTATATAAAGTACTTTATGGTTTAAGAAATGCTTTTACAGACATTATCTCATTTGATCCTCATGTTAGCGCTGTGAAATAGGAGCAGTTATCAACATGCCTGCTTAGTAGGTGAGGAAAACAAACTTTAAAATATTAGGCAACTGCCCTGGCCGGTTTGGCTTAGAGGTTAGAGCATCGGTCTGTGGTCCAGAGAGACCTGGGTTCAGTTCCCGCTAAAGGCACGCACCTCAGTTGCAGTTTGTCCCCGGCCCTGGTTGGTCGTGCAGGTGGCAGTCACTTAATGTGTCCCTTTCACGTCGATGTTTCTCTCTCTCTCCCACTCTACCTCAACAAAAAAAGGAAAAATGTCCTCAGGTAAGGATAAAAAATATATATATATTAGGCAACTTAGTAGTGCAGAGGCAAGTATTTTACCCTAAAGCCTCTGCTCATTTTCTTCTATACCACTCTGTAAGAACTGAAAGCTACAGTGGGCCAAGCAGACGGGAGCAAACAAATAGTAAAAATACCTTATTAGTTGTGAGATAATTTATCTTTTATGGTTTCTTTCCAAGTGACTGTACAAGAACTGCGTATTCTTTTATTAAGTCCACTTTTAATTATCTATTTTAATATTAATTCAAAAGACGAAATATAGCAAACATGTAAATTATACAGCATTTAAATGAATACCCATGAACCAGTCACTCGACTTGGGAGTTAGAACACTCCCAATACTTGTATCTACTTGTGCACTCTGTGCTCTGCCATCCTACTGCCTCCCTCCCACAGGTCACTAACTAGAATTCTACATTTTTTGTTTGTCAGTCCCTTGATTTTTTTTCAAATACTTGTATCACATATACATGATAAATAATATTATTTCTGCTTGCTTATGAACTATATACAAATTTTGTATGCTATTTTTAAAAACTCATAAGCATATGATAATATTAAGCTTTTTCTAATAGAAATTCATTCTCTCATTTTGCCAGAAACAAAAACCATATCTATTCTTCAAAGTTACTATTACTATATATACACTCATTTGATCATTGCAGTGTGCCAAGTTCTGTGTTTGTTTACTTTTTTGTTTTGTTTTCTTTTATTTGCATTTTTGTAAGAGTTTATTTGAGCCAAACTGGTGACATATGCCTGGGAGCAAGATCTCAAATGCTCCCAAGTTCTGTGCTTATTTAGATATGAATAAGGTGTGCTCTGTCTTCAAGGTCATAAATAGGTCATTTCAATATAACATTATAAATAATAAAATAGAGATATATCCAAAGTTTTCTTCTTCCCCCACATGTATTTTTGATGGGGAGCAGACAGGGAAGGTGATAGTCTGAAGTTGAATGGTTAAGAGTAATTGTATTTGAATAAGGCCCTAGATAAAACCCTTACCTAGGATTTTGTTAATTAATAATGATAGTGATAAAGATAACATTTATGATGGGTTGATGTTTACACCTAGTAATTCGAACCCAAGCAGTCTGGTTCCAGAATCAATGCACTTAACCACTATGCAGTGACGCCTTTCTTCTTCTTTTTTTTTTTTATCCTCAACCGAGGACATTTTTCCATTTTTTGTTCAAATAGAGTGGGAGGGAGAAAGAGGAAGAGATGAGAGAGAGAAACATCGATGTGAAAGGGACACATTCAGTGGCTGCCTCCCGCATGACCCAACCAGGGCCAGGGACAAACTGCAACCGAGGTACGTGCCCTTAGCGGGAACCGAACCCGGGTCTCTCTGGACCGCAGGCCAACGCTTTAACCGCTGAGCCAAACCGGCCAGGGCTTCGTCTTTATTTTTTTTAATTAAAAGAACTTTTTAAAATTTATTGATTGGTTTTTAGAGAGAGAGAGAGAGAAAGGGAAACATCTACTTGTTGTTCCACTTATTTGTGCATTCATTGTTGATTCTTGTATGTGCTCTGACAGGAGATCAAACCTGAAACCTTGGTGTATTGGGATGACACTCTTATCAACTGAGCTACCCTACCCAGCCAGGTGCAGTGGCACCTTTCTTAAGCCAGTGTGAATGCACTAGAAAAATTTAGAGCCCTGACCAGTGTGGCTCAGTTGGTTGGGTATTGTGGGTTCCCAGTCAGGTTGTGGGCCCGATCCCCAGTTGGGGGCATGCAGGAGGCAACCAGTCGATGTTCTCTCTTATCGATGTTTCTATCTATCTCTCCCTCTCATTTTTTCTCTCTCTAAAATCCATAAAGAAAATAAATAAATAATAAAATAAAGTAGAGCTTTTTTCTCAGCCAGTGTGGCTTAGTGGATTGAGCGTCCTCCCATGGACTGAGAGGTCACTCGTTCAGTTTCCAGTCAGGGCACATGCCCGGGTTGTAGGCTGGATCCCTAGTAGGGGTTGTGCAAAAGGCAACCGATCCATGTTTCTCTCACATCGATGTTTCTGTCTCTCTCTCCCTTCCTTTCTTTCTAAAAAATCAATGAAAAACATATTTTAAGAAATTAAGATTAAAATTAATTAGAGCATTTTAAAAACAGATATCACATGAAAGGCACAAAGGGTTTAAATTAAAAGAAGAAACAACTGACAATCCAGAGATCACCTACTTTGACCTCTCTTGTTTTTGTTGCAGGATGGGGAAATGGTGCTGTTGGATGGGGGGTGTGAATCTTCTTGCTATGTAAGTGACATCACCCGTACCTGGCCTGTCAATGGCAGGTAAGTCTTCTACAGATCCCACCGCATCTTTGGAGTATGGTTATATGTGAAATAAGTGGCTAAAGAGATAAACAGGTCCCCTCTAGGTCAGATTAACTGCCTTTGCAGAGCTCCTGATGTTTTTTTTTTATCCTCGCCTGAGGACATTTTTTGCATTTATCTTCAGATAGAGAGGGGGAAAGAGACAGAGAAATATCGATGTGAGAGAGACACATCGACTGGTTGCTACCCACACAACCTCAACCGGGGCTGGGGACAAACCGCAACCAAGGTACATGCCCTTAGTGGGAACCGAGCTTGAGACTCTCTGGTCCACGGGCCAGTGCTCTAACCACTGAGCAAAACCAGCCAGGGCTCCTGATTATTTTTTTAAGACTGTTTTATTCATCATATTACAGGATCAGGCACCTCAAAACACCTAATTAATATCCATACACATACATATATGTATGTACATATATGTGTATATATGTATGTACATTGATTGATTCATTGGTAATGATTGATTCATTTAAGGAATTGATTTACGCATTTATTAGGGCAGCTGGAAACTCACACAGAAGTTGATGTTGCAGTCTTGAGGCAGAATTCTCTCTCCAGTATAGCAAGGCAGTTCTGGCATTTGAATCCATTTACTGTAGGATACCTTTTAGCCCACGTTTCAGCCAACCAACCAAATAAACTATTAGCATTTCTGACACCTTGAGCTGTAACACTGGATCCAGAATCTCTTCTTAGTGTGGACCCATACCAAAAAATTTGGCCTGATCCAACTTTATGTTCCTTCCACCATTATCCCACACATTACTATTCATTTCCACACATATTATCAGATTGTTTATAAAATAGGAAAAATCATGCAGTTCTTTTTGGATTGTCATTCACCCCCTTGTGGGGTCACACTTTGTACCTAGCTTTTCGGAACCTCAGGACCTGCTAGAAATACAGTCTAGTTAAAGGGCCAGTATCTGCAGTGGTTAGAGCATTGGCCCTCGCACCATAGGGTCGCAGGTTCAACTTCTGGCCCTGATCAAGGCACATGCAGAAGGCACCCAATCCATGAGTGTCTCTGTCTCTCTGTGTGTCTCTGTCTCACTCGCTCTCTCTTCCTTTCTCCTTCTCTCCATCCGACTGTCTCTAAAAATCAATGGAAAAAATATCCTCGAGTAAGGATTAACAAACAAACCAAAAAAAAAGTCAAGAAGCAAGTACCAAGTCAACTACCTAAGGGGAGATACTTGTGTGTTCTCAATCAAAACCGGATTAGTCTCAGACAGTGGTGAAAGAGCTGCTTCTATCAGCAAAGAAGACTCAGCAGAATTTAGGGTTTCAGTTTCCCCAGCTTCATCAGGATCAGTCAGAATTGCACAGCTCAGATTTGTGGTTCTAGTGTCTGTAAAATGTACATTAAAAAATTTAAAGCCCTGGCCGGTTTGGCTCAGCGGTTAGAGCGTTGGCCCGCGGACCGGAGAATCCCAGGTTTGGTTCCCTCTAAGGCAGCGGTTCTCAACCTGTGGGTTGTGACACCTTTGAAGGTCGAACGACCCTTTCACAGGGGTCGCCTAAGACTATCAGAAAACACATATTTCCAATGGCGATTCATAACAGTAACAAAATTACAGTTATGAAGTAGCAACGAAAATAATTTTATGGTTTGGGGTCACCACAACATGAGGAACTGTATTAAAGGGTCGCGACATTAGGAAGGTTGAGAAACACTGCACTAAGGGCACGTACCTCGATTGCAGTTTGTCCCTGGCCCTGGTTGGGGTTGTATGGGTGGCAACCACTCCATATGTCTCTCTAACATCGATGTTTCTCTCTCTCTCTCTTCCTCCCTCTCTCTCTCCCGCTCTATCTGAAGATAAATGCAAAAATGTCCTCAGGTGAGGATAAGAAAAAAAAAATAAAAATATTTACTAGAACTGTGGTGGTGTAGAGTATGGGTACAAACATAACAATGTTGATAATGGCTAAACCTGGGAGTTGGTGTATAGGTGTTCATTATACCATTATATTGTTATACTTAACTATCAGGGAACATTTAGATTGTATCTATTATAATTATGAAAAATATCACAGTGAACATTTTTATACATTTAGCTTTTTAAAATTTCAAATATTTTCTTAGGATGGGTTCTTAGAACAGAATTACAGGCTCAGATTTTATGAGCATCTTTGAAGGCCTTTGATTTAATTGGCTGTACTAATTTATACTCATATCAACAGTGCATGAAAATACATATCATATACCACCCCAGTTTAATTTTTTATCTCATCCCCCCCCCCCATTATTGTAAAGAAATTATTCTCCTTTTTTTTTAAATCCTCACCCGAGGATATTTTTCCATTTTTTGTACAGATAGAATGGGAGGGAGAGAGAGGAAGGGAGAGAGAGAGAGAAACATCGACGTGAAAGGGACACATCGAGTGGCTGCCACCCGCACGACCAACCAGGGCCGGGGACAAACTGCAACCGAAGTACGTGCCCTTAGCGGGAACCGAACCCGGGTCTCTCCGGACCGCAGGCCGACGCTGTAACTGCTGAGCCAAACTGGCCAGGGCTGTAAAGAAATTATTCTAAGGACACCTAGAAACTAGAAAGTTACTAGTAACCAAAGTATCGACTAGTTATCCCATGGCATCTGCTTTACGTATAAGAAATGGATCACTAAGCTTTTTTTTTATGGTAAAAAATGGAAAGGATCAAGAGTGACCTGGTCTGGCCCTTTTATCATATTCATGGCTGGGTGCATCCTCTAGCCTCACCTCATGTGTATCTGAAGGACTGTTTCTGCCCCAGTCCGAAGGGCTATTGCTTTTCCTGTTGAGCATCTGGGATATGATTAAGGTTCTGTCAGTAATGATATGTTGATATGATTAAATATCTACAATGCCCCATCATCATCGCCTTGGAGTTTTTCTAATCAAACTTAGAAGCAGATGTTAAACAAAACATCATTCCACAGCTGAAAGTTCTTGTTTTTGTTTTTTTAATGAAAGGGTTTATTGGGCCATACTGCTAGCCAGCAAAGGACCAGGTCCCAGGACATGAAGTCTAAACCACCAGCAACAGGGCTTGGTGGAGAAGGCAATATATTCACCCTCCTGGAGTTGATGGGGGCTTTTACACATTTTGGGGGAAGAAATATGTAAGTTGTTTTGAAAGAACTTACATAGGCTATAGATAAGGGAGGGTGGGAAAAAGTGAAGTGAGGGGAGCAGTTCTAGAATAGGAGCAGTCTTGAGGAAGAAATATTTACTGCTTTTGAATCGGTTATAGGCAACAGTCCTGAATTTCATGCATATGCTGGATGCAGTGGTGGCTGGTGGTTGCTCATAGACACCTGGAAGTTGATTTAGAGCTTCAACGTACATCCAAATATGAGCAATCTGTTGTTAGTTGGCACAAAGCTATTAACTGGTTAACTCTTCCTGTTATTTCCTTTTACTCTCTGACCTCTGTAATTTTATTTATAACATCTCAGAATTTTTCTCTTGTCACAAACTTCCTCTAATATCAGTTAATTCCAAATTCATGTTCTTTGGTTTTCCTGTCCCCAGGTTTACAGCACCTCAGGCAGAACTGTACAAAGCTGTTCTAGAGATCCAGAGAGATTGTCTGACCCTCTGCTCCCCTGGAACAAGCTTGGAAAACATCTACAGCATGATGCTGACCCTAATAGGACAGAAGCTTAAAGAGTTGGGGATCATGAAGAACATTAAGGAAAATAATGCCTTCAAGGTACCTCACTTCTTTTGACTCCGTTTCTCAAGAACACCTTATATGCTGCTTAGTTTTTATGTAAAGCTAATTAGATTTAGAAATGGTCTTCATGATTCTTCATCTCTAAGAGAGATTTACATTGAACCAGGATTACAACAAAGAGAGTCAGTACTTATTTCTCCCAGAAGGTGGCAGCACATTCTGGCTCATTGCATACTGTGTAAGTCATCAGAAGACATAAAATGAAGTCTAGTGCAGACCAGGTGGAAAAGGACACAAAAAGCAGGAGAGGTTAACTCTTAATTTTTTGTGTGGTAATTTTGAAAAGGTAGAAATCAAAGGGGAGGGTGTTTGGTGTTTCAGTGACATTGTTGAGACTTTAACAGTATCCTCAAGGGCACGTCTTTAGTGAACTTCATCTGCATCCAAAACGTAATGGTATTCAGCTTTATTTTTTATTTATTTTTTTATCCTCACCAAAGGACATTTTTTTACATTTATCTTCAGATGGAGCAGGAGGGAGAGAGAAATATCAACGTGAGAGAGAAACATCGAGGGGTTGCCACCCACATGACCCCAACCGGGGCTGGGGACAAACTGCAACCGAGGTACGTGCCCTTAGCGGGAACCAAACCCAGACCTCTCTGGTCCACGGGCCGACACTCTAACCGCTGAGCAAAACTGGCCAGGGTTAAAGCTCAGGTTTAAATTAAAATGCCGGGTGGGCAAGCCCAACAGACCATTAAGGCATCTTCCATCTCCAAGGTTAGGCTACCAGGATTACTTTTCTTTTTTTTGCTAATCCTCACCTGAGGATATTTTTCCATTTCTCTTCAGATAGAGTGGGAGGGCAGGGGGTGGGGTAGAGAGAGAGAGAGAGACATCAGTGTGAGAGCAACACATCAACTGGTTGCCTCCCGCACACGCTGACCAGGGCTGAGGACTGAACTGCAACCGAGGTACATGCCCTTGCCTGGAATCAAACCCACGACTCTTTGGTCCACAGGCCGAGCTCTAACCACAGAGCCAAACCAGCCAGGGCTGGCCTGGATATTTCTATCCATTAATTAAAGATTTGCTAGCCTGAGCAAGAGGAATTCATAGCTTCTTTCCTGTCAATAAAAGAAATCCTGGCCCTGGCCACTTTGGTTCAGCGGTTAGAGCGTAGGCCTGTGGACCAAAGAGTCACAGGTTCGGTTTCAGTCAAGGGCATGTACCTAGGTTGTGGTTCAGTCCCCAGCTCTGGTTTGGGTCATGTGAGAGGCAACCAACTGATGTGTCTCTCTCACATCGATGTTTCTCTCTCTCTCTCTCTCTCCCCCCACCTCCCACTCTGTCTAAAGATAAATGGAAAAATATCCTCGGGTGAGGATTAAAAAAGAAAGAAAGAAATATCCAGGCCAGTAAATGCCTAATAATTGCTGTGTTATTTGATGTTTCAGCTTGCTCCAGAAGTTGCTGTGAGATACTTAGGGTCTCCAAAGTCGAATTCCTGAGAGGGGTGTGCGAACATTGAAAAGAGAACTATTCTAAGATAATCATCCTCCCTCCCCCAAGAAAAGAGTTTTTCACTCGCCATAATCATTACTGGGGTTACCCAAGTCAGCGTATATTAAATATTGGGAATGGAAATGTGGATCAGTTTAGAATGCGATGGCAGAATTTCATTCGAGAGGTGGCAGTTGATCAAGTTTCTTAAGCAGTAGCCCAAGGACAGGTTAAACATAGTGGCCGAACCATGAGGGAGGTATTAACGCAAATCTCACTGATTTATACATGCCCAACTTTCCCCTTAAGGGGCCACTGCTCTCATAACACTGTGGCAATTACCTTCACAGTCTGCTAGAAAATACTGCCCTCATCATGTTGGCCATTACCTCGGGATGGATGTCCACGACACTCCAGACATGTCCCGTTCTCTCCCTCTACAGCCCGGCATGGTGATCACAGTGGAGCCAGGTAAGGGGTTAGGTAGGGATGTGTTAGCAGCCTCTGACCCCTTGGGACACATAATAGTAGTGTCCAATAGAAAGATAAACGTCACTTATTTTTACCTGAACCAACATAATTAAGTTAGGAGTGGCGGTGGAGAATGACTTTATTGTAGAAGGGAACTTGATTTTAGATTTTTCATGAGCTTTCTTATTTAACATCACACAATTTGTTTAATTTGATTTCTCCAGCGAACAACAGAAGGGAACTATATAAGTAGATACTGTATTAAGAAATAAATCTTTATTAACCCTTCTTTTGCCAGGGCCAATTTGTACTAGGTTCGGGTAGTAGTAGTGGGCTGCTCACACTGCTGAAGCCCCCAGTGCTTTCCTGCAGGAAGAGACTCAGACTCACTACCTTCTTAGTTGCAATTCCTCTGCAAACTGCATTCATTGAACTGCCCACATTACCCTACTTCTTAGTATCCAAATTCTTTCTCCTTAGCTTTAGAGAAAGCTGGCAATTTAACGGTTCCCAGCTTGCATGATGTTAGTGATTGGGCTGATTTCAACAGAGAAGTGGTGGATGTGGTGAGGGGGAACTTTGATATGACAAGTCGGTTTTTAAATACTGATGCTATTTTTGTTGTGAAACAGATCTCATTCTTAGATTTCAAGTGTTTTCATCTCTAAATTAAGTAATTATAGCTGGGACATGTCTTTCACCCTTTGAGCCCAAACATTGCTGTCTGTGGCCTTACATACCACTTAGTCCAATCTAGTCAGTACATGGGTGCTTCCTTGTAGACTTGGACTACATTTTTCTTTGCTGATCTTTTCTTTTGATCACAGAGCAGCAACTGTGAGTATAAGTGAGAAAGTTTACAGTTTCTTTAACATGAAAAGATTGTTTTCTGTCTGACTTCATGATTAGAAAGGGTACCATGGGCTCTTAGAATTTTCCAAATGTTTAATAAAGTCTTCCTATTTTTCTTACTTAACATTGTGTACATCAGTTACATTTATGGTTTATTTGAAAGGGCTTATTTGAGTATTTCTGCAGCTTCTGGTTGTTCAGGCTAATAATCTCTAAATAAGTGTTTTTAAATACATTTTAAAATACCTTGTCTTTATTTTAGCCAAGTTCCCTTTTTCCAGGAGACTATTAGGCAGAGAAAGAACACATTTATATAATCTACTGGTTCCCAGCATATACTGACATACTCATAGGTTAAGTAACTTTAGTGGCCTGCTTAAGCCACTAGAATATGACAGAATCATGATCAAGATTACCATATGGAGCCTGTAGTCTAGTATACAAAATAACTATAATAATAGTTCTAGTAATGATAGTCAACATTTATTGACCATTATGTACTAGACACTTTTATCTGTGTTATCTCATTTAACCTCCACAACTCTAGGTAGATAGTGCTAAGATCCCAGTTTTACAAATGAATTATAACACAGAGAGGTTAATTTACTTGCCCCAAATCATCCAGTGACTGCCATTTATGAACAGCACATTCTTTTTTCCTACTTCCAGGCATTTATATTCCAGAGGATGACAGAGATGCCCCAGAGAAGTTTCGTGGTCTTGGTGTTCGGATTGAGGATGATGTAGTGGTGACTCAGGACTCACCTCTCATCCTTTCTGCAGATTGTCCCAAAGAGATACATGACATCGAACAGATCTGCAGCAGGGCCTCTTGACCCTCATTGCAGCCCACAAGCATCTCAGGTTCAAGGGGTGTGCACTGGCATCTGTGTACCTGAGCTTTCTGAGTGTTGTCTGTGTGTGTACATTTATGTGCATGTTTCAGTTGGGAGTGTGGGAACTGTATGAATGTATGTAACTGTGTGTGTGGTTTGTTTTTTTTTGTTTTAAGTAACTCAAATTTGGAAAATTGAATTGTTGGACTATATGTTACTGCAGCTTTAGTTACATTAATTCTGTAGAACTAATGACCCAGGCAAGTTTAGTTTTTAAACATCAAGGTAGATCTTAGTTACATATATTCATGCATTCCAGTTACACATTTAAATGTACAGAAATCCTCTCCTCTCCAGGTCTTTTCCTTTCAGTGTTTTTGCTGAGATCCAGTTAATATCATATTTGTGTGATGCTTATATTTTCAGCAAGTCACCAAAGTTTCTGCCTACACTAAAAGTCACCCACCAGTGACTGTGTGTAGCCAGTATATGCCTTTCATGCTGGTACTGCCCTGTTCCAGAGCCCGCACATCTACTGGAACCACATGAGCCCTCATGGGCACTGGTGTCCTGCCATCCCACCATTCAGCTGCCTTCCAGATTCCAGCAACAGTGTCTATCAAACAAAATGGTTATGAACCTTTTTTTGCTACTTGGTTGCCTAGAGCCTGGAAGGTATTTAGGTTCTTGACAAGGAAGGACATGGAGGAGAAAGAAAAGTATATAGGTGTTTGCTACAGATCCAGACCTCCATCTATCTGTTCTCAATCTAAAGATGATTTCTTTCCCAGACATTCATGCTGCCTTTATAGATGTTTTTTTTTTTTAAATGTTTTTATTGATTTATTTAGAAAGAGGAAGAAAGAGAGAGATAGAAACATTGATGAGAGAAGCACCAGCCCTGGCTGGTTTGGCTCAGAGGTTAGAGCGTCAGCCTGCGGTCCAGAGAAAGAGAGAGAAGCATCAACATCAATCGGCTGCCTCCTCCACATCCCACATTGGGGACCGAGCCCACAACCCGGGCATGTGCCCTGGACCAGGAATCAAACTGGTGACCTCTTGGTGCATAGGTCAATGCTCAATCACTGCGGCACACCAGCTGGGCCTTTTATAGATTGTTATTTTTTTTTTAAATATTTTTTATTTTTTTATCTTCACCCGAGGACATTTTTCCATTTTTTTGTTCAGATAGCATGGGAGGGAGAGAGAGAAACATCGATGTGAAAGGAACACATCAAGTGGTTGCCACCCACATGACCCAACCAGGGCCTGGGACAAACTGCAACTGAGGTACGTTCCCTTAGCAGGAACCGAAACCGGGTCTCTCCAGACCGCAGGACGACGCTCTAACCACTGAGCAAAACCAGCTAGGGCTTTAAAATGTTTTTTATGTCTTTTTTTTTTTTTTGGCACATGCCCTTAGCAGGAACTGAACCCGGGACTCTCTGGTCCACAGGCCCATGCTCCAACCACTGAACCAAATGGGCCAGGGCGCTTTAAAATGTTTTTTAATTGACTTTTTAGAGAAAGAGGAAGGGAGAGAGAGATAGAAACATTAATGTGAGAGAGAAACATCGATTGGCTGCCTCCTCCACACCCCCCCACTGGGGATTGAGCCTACAACCCAGGCATGTGCCCTGACAACCAGGACCTCTCAGTCCATGAGGTGACGCTCAGTCCACTAAGCTGGGCTTCGTTATAGATTCTTAATGCACTGCCCCTCATAGCATACGCTTGAAAATGCTGCCTGGCCAAGGGCAGATCCTCTACTTACCTAGTTAAAGTGGAAGGAATGGTACCTAGTTTTCAGAGAGATACCCCTGTTATTATTCTGTGATTTCCTCCAGTGCTATAAAAAAAAAATTTGCCCGTGCTGCCAAGTGCCTCTAAACAACCTAAGATCCTTTTCTTTCTCTGATGTTAGCACTAGAAGAGTCCTATTTCTCTCAACAGCATTGGACACAATTACACAAGAACTCAGTTATACAAGTTTTATTTAATTATTTTTTTCTTTATTGATTTTAGAGAGAGAGGGAGAGAGAGAGAGAAACATCTTTTGGCCGCCTCTTGCATGCCCCTCACTGAGGATTTGGCCCACAACTGGGGCATGTGCTCTGACCAGGAATCGAACTGGCAACCTCTTGGTGCATGGGTTGACGCTTAGCCAGTGAGCCTCAATGGCTGGGCTCAGTTATACAAGTTTTCAAAGGGAACAGAGCTAGATTATTGCAGATGGTTCATTTAGGAGCTTCTATCAAAAAAGGGAAGCTTTAAGAATTAGTGTGTCCCCCTCTTTTAAACCTGGGTATGAGCCAAGATGTATAAAACATGCTGATTGTTAGAGCATAAATTTGAGGGTTTTGGAGAAAATTTTGTATTAGCGAAGCACAGGCTAGGGGATTAACACTCCCTGCAATGACAGAGGCTTGCCCATCTTACCAGGGAAAACCAAAGTACGGATCCCAAAGTACAGATCCCAAAGCAGACAGGCAGTGGCTTCATCAGGAGACAACTTTAATGTTATAAACCAAAGTGATACAGATCGTGTCCTGACAGTGTCATCCACAAATGCTTGCTTTGCTCACCTTGTCTAAGCAGCTGTGGGAATGGATGGCTACACAGCTGGAGTCCTCTGCCTACCCTCCCTGCAACTTCTCAGTCCTGTGCTTTCCAAAAGAAGGGGACTGAAAATAAATCTATTCTCAGGCTTCTACCCTGGGCCTCTGTGGCCCTAACAACCCTTGGATAGGGTTTCCTTTGTTCATTTACAATCCTGGAATAAGGACTTTCCTTTCTTCCTAAAAATCATTTCCTGTGCCCTGGCCAGTTTGGCTCAGCGGTTAGAGCATCGGCCCACGAACCAATGAGTCATGGTTTCTATTCGGGTCAAGGGCAGGTACCTCGGCTGCGGTTCAATCTCCCACCCTGGTCAAGTCGTGCGGGAGGCAACCAGTCGATGTCTCTCTCATGTCAGTGTTTCTCTCATCTCTCTCTCCCTCTTCCCATTCTGTGAAGATAAATAGAAAAATATTTTCGGGTGAGAATTAAAAAATAATGAGATCTGCCTCTCCCTTTCCTCTTGTGCCCATATCAGAGATTGTGAATAAAGCATAGTGACTTTCCCATCAGGGCAGCTATGACCTCGGTCCTTTGTAACACAGTGTTTCCGACAATTGCTATCAATAAAATACTTGGAATTGGAGTTAGACCCTATCTGCCATCCTTCAACTGGCATGTAATAGATGATACCATTCTTATTTGTGTGTGTATATTAGAAACTAAGTGATGTCCCAGGATGGTAGCAGCATAAAGGACCGTGCTTGGAAGAGGTTTTTATGGTTTGGTTAATTTTTAAAATTTATATTGTTAGGGTTAAGTTTTAGGCCTGGGCAAATATACTTCAGGCTAAAGTGTTTAATGCTCCTAGTATAAGAAGGTGACTACATCATGAAACCCTAACATTAGTGCAGAATTTCATTGTCACAAAGCGTGTGGGTCCTTCTGACTTCTGCCTCTGTGTCACTGAGGAGCTTGAGATGAATATCAGTGTTGTTCAGACCAAGGGTCCCCTTGAACAGGTGTGCTCAGGGTTTGAGAACTGTATTCTTTGTTAGCATTTCATAATGCTTTGTATGACTTTTGTGCAATTATATAAACTTGATTTGGACAAAATGCTGTTACTTTTAAGGCCTTTTCCACTGAAAATAGTTATGTCATTCCCCAAGAAGGGAAAAGCATTTGTTACTGTCATTTTAAAAATAAATTTTAAAACAGTAAAAGTGTATGACCTGTGTGTGTTGTTTTCAAATCTAGAGTTTACAGCTTTAACTTTGAGAACATTTTGATTTACAAAACATTGTATTTTACAGAGTGTTCATTAACTGCTATCACAAAATCACGATAGCAAACTTGAGATAATCTTAATTATCATAGAGGGGATAAAAAACAGTGAATTAGATCCAGCCCATTAAAAGATTGACTCAAGGACCCTAACTTGTAATAAAACATGGTGACCGTAATTGATAACACTGTATTGTATAATTGAAATTTGTTAATAAGAGAATGGAACTTAAAATGTCTTCACAGCCCTGGCCGGTTTGGCTCAGCAGTTGGAGCGTCGGCCTGCGGACCAGAAGTCCCGGGTTCAGTTCCCATAGGGTCACGTACCCCCCCCCCAAAATAAATAAATAAATGTAATCACCATCCCCAAAATCGAAGAAAAAAAAATGTCTTCACAAAAAGATAAATATGTGAGTTGATTGAGGTGTTAATTAATTAGAAGGGGAGCATTTTTTCCACAATGTCTTAAAACTTTGTCAGTTATACCTCAAGAAACCTGGAGGCAAACATGGTTTACTCTCCACAAAACACCCACAGGTCTTCAGGCCACCCCTGTAGCACTCAAGACAGTAAACTATAGTCATGAGCATTCTATAAAGGATGAATCTTGAGGGGAGGTAGGGTCAATTTGCAAAATTGTAAATATGTGAACTTTCTCAGTGAGCCATATAAAGAATCCAGCCATCACTCTTTATTAGGAATCCTCTTTGAAATCTGAGGCTCTCTCTAAGGCATGCTTTCCAACATTTCTCACTCCTGGCACACATAAAAAGATATTTTTTGGCCTGGCCAGTGTGGCTCAGTGGTTGAGTGTCAACCTATGCATCAAGAGGTCGCCAGTTTGATTCCCAGTCAGGGCACATGCCCAGGTTGTGGGCTCAATCCCCAGTAGGGGGCATGCAGGAGGCAGCCAATAAATGTTCTCTGTCATTGATGTTTCTATCTCTCCCTTTCTCTTCCTCTCTACAATCAACAAAGGAAAAATATTTTTTTAAAGATTTTTTTGTATGGCACAATAGAATAAACTTGGAGGGACTTAGGAATATAACGTGATTTATTCTAAAAATTCATTACATATCAAATAATTATAAGAAAATAGTATACAAAAAAAGTTGTGCAACACTTCCAAAGAATAATTTTTTGTTGTTGAAAGCATTACAGATGCCCCCCTGTTTTCCCCATTCATTGACCCCCTCCTTTCCACTCCCACCTTCCTCTTGCCTTCCCCAGCCCAGTGTCCATGTTGATTGGTTGTGCATATATGCTCCAAAGAATAATTTTTAAAATGTCAGTAAATGACTTAACTTACTTTTGGGAACATTACTCTTGTGACAAAAGGCTGAAACGCCCACACACAATTCCTGATCTAGACTTTTAGTAATAATGTCTTCAGTGTCTCATAAAACCATCTACAATAAACTTGTTTGCACAGTAGGTGACAAAAATCTTAGAACTTAAAATTATTGTGATCACTCAAAATTTTATGATTAAACTGATAAATGGATAAACAATGTGGTATATCCACACAATGAAACATTATTCAGCCATAAAAGGGAATGAAATATGTATACATGCACCCTGGCCAGTTTGGCTCAGCAGTAGAACATCGGCCGCAAATCAAAGAGTCATGGGTTTGATTCCGGCCAAGGGCACGTACCTCGGTTGCAGTTCGTCCCCAGCCCTGGTCAGGGTCGTGCATGAGGCAACTAGTCAATGTGCCCTCTCACATCAATGTTTCTCTCTCCCTTTCTCACCCTGTCTTTCCTTCCCACTCTATCTGAAGATAAATAGAAAAATATCCTCAGGTAAGGATTAAAAAATATATACTTATACATGCTACAACATGGGTGAACCTTAAAAACATTAAGCCTAATGAAAGGAGCCAGATACAAGAGGCACATACTGTATGATTCAATTTATATAAAATGTCCAGAATAGGCAACTTTACGGAGAAAGAAAAGTAGAT